AATATCATGCATATCATCATCATCATATCATATCATCATATCATGATGCAGAGATAAATTTAAATTTTGATTTAGATTGGAGTCTACGGCAGTTTTCTCAAAGGCGTGCAGCTTACTGACTACTGAACTTGTACATCGGCTGGCCCCCGCACGTCATTGTATAGGCCACATCGCATTCGAACGCCACGAGATGGAGCCTTGTTAATTTTTTTCAAAGTCAACGACCACAAGGGCTAGAAGGTGGGCGGTTTCAATGATGTCATTGAGCGTCATTGGTAGAAGTGCATTTCAAGCCCCTGCCAACCACAATCCAACGCGCTGTGGGGCTAGACCTCCACCGATTCCAGCGGGTGCTATGCTAAGGCTGGTGTCAGAGTCCGCGATCCGTCGCGAGATCGCGCGATTCGCGCGACGGATCACAGAAATCACAAGTGCCCCGATCAATACTGCAAGGTGCTCTCCAATCCTGCCGCCATTTCTGCTTGATGGTGATGGCTGAATGACGACTGTTCATGATTCTACTTGTTTCATATTCAGTGTTTCAAATGTTCAAATGGGCACTTGCGATTTTTGCGATTCGCACAATTCGCGCGAAACCTGCGACGGATCGCTGACTCTGACACCAGATTAAGAGAGAAAGCGACTTTTCCGTTTCTTGCAGCGCAGAACTTTTCTCGCTGCGAGAAGCCCACGTCTACTCCTGGCTAAAGCTGACATGGGGTTCTAGCAGAGAAAAAAGTTCCTCTTGCAGAAAGCAGGAAAGACGGTTTCTGTTCTGGCGAACCACACCCATGTTCAACGACGCCAAAAAAACCGCACTGCCCTATAGCTATCGCGGCCACTACCTTTAAGAGCGTCGAAATTAAGGCTAGGCAAGGAACTATAAATTCACATTCAGGTGCACACAAAAATGTTTGAACGCGTCATGCCCTTGCCTGAGCACTATGTAACGTTTCGCGACCGTGAGAGTTGCGACCTTTTCGAGGGTAAAAGTTGTAAGACAGAGGAGACCTTAGTAGGCCTTAATTCGTAGCCCTACGTCCGCCATTCTGCTCCCCTCCTCGATGCCATGGACCTTCTTCATGACAATGAAGGTTGCGATTTACTGCATAAAACAAAATAGCAGGAAATCCCAGCAGTGGAAAAGAGTCCAGAAGATACAGCACGTGGTTTTGCCAGCAGAGTACAGCAGTGTTTTTATGTGATTTAGCAGGTTATACTCCATGAGACACTGACGATGAGTTTCTTCAGATATCACAAAAATGTGGATTTGGTCTAACTCACTTTTCCGAAGGCTTCTTCTGCATCTTTCTCGCGATTAACTAATCAACACTTCTACTTTCGAGGGCCATAACCTATTACCGCGCAATTTTGATCGATTGAACACACTTTCTTCTGGGATCACATGACAACAGGATACCTTGGGAGTTCAGCATCCGAAACCTTGTATAACTGCTGTCCCCACCGAGCGCTCTTACGGAACGGCTTTGCGTTCTAAAATAGCACGATTCAGCCACGCTACTACAGTGAATTGATGCACAGCCATAGGATCAAACTGGGTAGCGGCTCTTACATACCTAAATGAAACGCAACCGTCGCGAAAGTGGGGCCGGCAGCAAAGAAAAGAAATAAACCCTGAAAATGCTAAAACCTAAGGGGCTGGTATATCGTCTAGCCGGCTATAATAATTAAGACTAATGCACAAAAAGAGAGAGGATAGGCGATAGAGGCAGGACGGACGAGAGTCGCCTACACCAATATGACGCAAAGAATCGCATACGCGGTTAATCGGTTGCAGGCCCGTAAGCGTCTTTCTTGTGGCGATTTGAAGCCCGGAAGAAAGGCGACATCTAAGACCCCCGTACGAGCTCAATCCTAGCCCGCTAAAAGGATTCATACACCAAGTCCATTTTGTCTACACCTTTCATGGATGGTGATAATATTTAGGCAAAAATTCAATATTGAAACTAAAGTCCCTCTTTTCCAAACCTCACACCTGAACAATGTGAATTTTGAGATTTTGAGAAACGAACTTTTGTTTTGTTCAGTGCTTCCGAACTACCGCTGCTGTATAGACCAATGCACAGTTCGCATGCCCTCCGAGAATCATGCGATACTACGAGTTCAATTTAAATAAAGAGAGTTTTATATGTCATATTTTATTCTTGCAGCATTTCTATTTCAGTTTATCCAATAAACTCTGTGACTGACGAACAAACTCAAGGCGGAAGTGCTCGCATACTGTACTCGCACTGTACTTTACTCGCTAGTGGTGCTGCCTACTACCCGCATGGTTCAAATGGAACAGGGTGAATCCTGGCGTTGGGATTTTTTCAGAAATTTTACATCCTCCTCTCGGGCCCCACCTGCAACCATGACCCCTTCATCTTCCACGAATTACGATGCATCGCACTATTCTAGAAGATGGTTAACTTCGGTCAATCTTAAATATGGTCTCCTTCCAAAAAATGCGCCCGCTAGTACTTGTAAACGAGCAGATGATCCTGGGACCCCACCCACCCGGCCTTCCTTCCCTTCAGGATAGGCTCATGCGCTACTTCTCTGGAGATATTCGTGATACATTGGCTGATCCCATCTGTTGTTGTATCAGGCCGCATAAGTCGCATTGGAGAATAATTTCGAAGAAAATTTCGAAGAAAAATTGGGACTCCTAGTGGAAGTTCAGTTGGCGCGATCCGCGGTGAGGGAAGGATCGGAAATCGTTGTATATGAAAACGGGGGGGGGGGCGTTTTGGTGTAGAGCGTCCACGCTTACAAGTACAACCAACAATTTCTATTCTATGAGGGCAACAACACTCACCAATCCCTTTTTAGACAAGTGAAATGATTCATCCTTCCGAAACTAGGACTTACTGTTACTTTAACGGTCGATTGCATCAAGACGACGCCGCATTGGAGGCGGATCACAAGATGAAAAGGTAGCCCACTAAATTCGAGGGTTAGTAGCAGTGATGCAGGGATGTGGAAAAAGCATGAGAAACGGCCCAGAATCAAGAAGTAGGACCTCTCTCTACCCGTTGATTTCCGCATTGATGCGGCTCTCATCGCCGCTGCCCTCTTCAACGTTAACGCTCTCTCTGATGAACGGCTAGAGTCAGACGGCAGGAGGGTGGACGCGCCGTGGCGCGACACGCCCACCCTCCCATTGTCGGGCTCAGCGGACAATAAGCCACTTAGGGCATACTCTCCTCTGCAAACGCGCATCGTCTGGCTCCCTTATTAGCCTGCCTGCTTTTCAACTAGGTATCTTTCCCCTTCTTAAACCCCCGACCTTATCGTGAAATCCTCCCTTGAATAGACACCAGGAAAGTATTGGTTCGGTCACCTGTATTCCTCGTCTGTGTTCACAAGACGGATTTCTGCTCGATCGTTCAAAGCGGCCAAGGATTTCTGTGCCCGTGTCGGTTGCCATTGCAATGGTTCCAAATCCATGTTCTGCTATGTGTTCACCTGAATTCATTGTTGTTCGCATGAGTTGTTGCATACGAGTAGGGTCTTATTTCGGCATATGGTGGATTGTTACGGAAAGCAATCACATGGTCAACGTATACTTTACGTTAAATACATCTCAAGGATTGATTAATAGTTGAAGTGACAAGTGGTACCAATCGCGCACTTAACAACTGTAAGGAACCTTCCAGGACTTGAATAAATTACAGCGATTTTATTCTCTAAATTTGCCCTGATATGAAGGCACACGTAATTTCTCCTTCCATGGCCGCGATCAACAGTACATTCTTAATCGCTGCCCGACC